ACAACTGAAAGCAAACTAAGTTTATCAAGTTTATCATTGGGAAAGTGTTTGAGCTTCTAAAACCATCCAGGGCAAGATTAGACATTTTAAATAATGTTTTTTTTTTTTTTTTTCTCCAGTATTATTCATTTGGTCTATACTTGTAAATTGCTGTGTAATTTTAGGAAATTGTAAAACAATTTCTCATAAACAGGTCTAATAAATACACATTTAAAAGCAGCTGACCTTAGTTGCACAGCTGTCCTTTAACTGCAGTGATAAAAAAAAAAAAAAAAAAAGTTTGGGGGTAAGTGGAAGCACCCTGACATTTTAGACAGTGGTGTTTCCTTAGGAACAGCTGTATCTGAAAAATAATCTTTGGAAACAATACTTGACAAACAATCTCTTAGATTGTATCTCAAAGACTTGAAAGGCAGATTGTCTGTGCCTTTCTGTCTAAAGAATATTTTCATCCTTTGCTTTTTGTTCAGCCGCCTTCTCCCGTTGGCTTAAAAAACAACAAATATCAGTTTAATGTAAACCTTGAAAATAGTAGCTTTTAGAGTTTCCCCTAATGTAGAAGGCATAATTATATTCCCGTTTACCTATAAGCTAATTGGGTAATGCATGTTTAACACCATTTAATATAAAAAGAAACAACACAAATGCTGAATTTAGTTTAACTTCATTTACTCAAATTAATGACAAAATCACATTATTTAGCATAAACATTCGGATATCAATTAGACACGTTGACTGAGAATATATATTCTTTTTGACAAAGCTTGAGGCAAATATGGAAGTTTATAACAATCATTGCTAGTTTTGAGACCAGGTCTTTGACTGTTAAAAACAATACCCAAAAACAAAAACAAAAAACTTTAAATGTATGACATTGAATAAATTGTAACACTGTGGAGAAAAAAGGCAAATCACTTATTTAAACTGTAGCTTACTTTGGGAGGTACTAAATCAAATGTAATTTCCAGCTTGTATGTATAAATGAATGTGCATTAGCTAAATAAAGAACGAGGGATTGACTGGTTATTATATGGATGATTTGTAGGTGTGCTTCCAGTGTCTGCAACATCTCCATGCACTCTACAGGCTGACAAAAAAATGCCTCACTACTTTTTCGAACTCCATGCGGGACTCCAAACGTGAACCTCATGAAGCTTCATGAGATCATCTAATTTGAACTCTGCCACTTCCTTTATATTTTAAACACATAAAAAAAAAAATGCATATTAGAAACAAATGCAACCATGAAATGAGTTGTACTTTCTTACAAATATTAATATTTTGATGAATATATAGATAGATGGACAGATGGATGAATGGCTG